ATCTGAATGATAGGACGATATGTCCACAGGCGGAGAGATACAGCCAACGGTGCCTTTGGATTGGAAAGAGTTCTTCTGGTGATCAAGATAGATCACTATGACTGATATATCATCGTGGAAATGACGCCTAATCCCCTTCTCTATTTTCTTTATGTCCTTGTACCTCATCTCCCTCTTCTTAGCAGCTTCCTTAAGTGCTGCTCCCACCAGCCTCTTAGCTATTCCCTGCAAGTACACCAACCAAAAGATCAGTCCATCATTGTACAAAATCTCTTATTTATTGGATCAAACAAACGAAATAGCAAGAACCACTCCCATATCTTATCTCTACATCTAAGCGAGAAACAGGTATCTAGTTTGCTAAGATGACTTAAACAAGAATGTCATCAAAGCCATTATTAATCCCCTCTAAGATTAAACAGACTTGCGTTCAGACTTTACACAGCCAAGCACAAGTCTGTTTAGCAGCTCAACAAAATGTACATATTTTTCCATAACTTGTCAACAGAAAATAAGAACAAAAGAAAGGTCAACTTACAGCTCTTGGGTTTTTAAAGACTATTTCCACAGCCGCTTCATCACTTAGTTGTTCCCAGAGACCATCAGAAGCAAATATCACAAATAAGTCATGAGTTCTAATTTTTCTTGTAACAATGGAAGGTTCTGCTGTCATTACAGCCCGCTTCAAAGGAACAGGATTTCCATATTTTTGAAAGATAGGATCTCTGTTTAACTCCGGTCTCTTAAGATAGGCATCTCCAATGGATCTCGAGACCTGCAAAGTGCGATGTATAAGTATCTATCTCCCACAATCACATGACAAAGTCTAGACTAAAGAGCAAAGACAGAAAAAAGGCTACAAATAAAAGGTACCATGCATAAGTATCTTTCTCACACATTCAGATGACAAAGTCTAGAGTAAAGAGCAGAGACACAAAAAGGCTACAAACAAAGTGCAGATATTCTCTCTTACTTTCCCAGGATAATGTTCATACGTTTACAAACACATAAAGAATAAAATCAAGATCATTAGAATATATAGCCAAAAAAGTAAAAAGGGAGAGGATAAATATTCTCTGAAATCACAAATCTCTGCCTTATGAAATCTTCCTATCTCAAGAATCGAAGGTATAGTCAGCAACATAAAAGGGAAAATGGGAAGCACCAAGGTATACACCACGTCCAAATACTACGTACATGAAACAATATGGACATTTTTTAAGAAGAAAACAATAAGTAGGGCACTTCTGCTGGATTTAATAACTCAACAACTTCTGTGATTCAGCCGGGATTAAGCTGAGCTAGAAATTGAGAGGATCAAATAATACCTCGACTACTAGCTTTCATGATTTACATAACTAAAAGATCCTACACACAAAATGAGTTCATGGGCCAGAAAAGGAAGCAGAAAGAACAAAATTTCAGTTCAATTCTACACACTAAAGAACTCTGTAGCTACTCTCAGGAAGACGAATGAAAATATTTTCAAGAAAATCCAACTAAACGTGCTACGCCAAAGCAATGGCGAATCATTGACCATAAGGTAGACAACCATTAACGACAACAACACAACATTTTGAGATTACAGCTATGACTTGCCCATAACCAAGATAAGTGGGAATCTCATAAGCAAACTCCCGTAAGTCGTGCTTTTACTTTTCAAAAATGAAAACAGGAAAACAGGGAAAGCTAGAGAACTCCAAAACGCAGTTCACTTATAATGAATGGATTGTTCACAATCAACATTATTTAGAGCTATCACAACAACAGCATTGAACCAAAAATGCTTACGTCATCCATAAAGAAAGGCGACAAATTCGGTTTAAAGTAAGCACCAAATAAGCAAGCTCACCTGAATTATGCCTTTAACTCTCCAAACTCCTCGACAATAGACCACTATAGATGGATCATCGGGATGAAGTGATTCCACCTCTTTCCGCACCTCCTCACATGAAACATTATGATCAGTGGACAATCTTTCTGCAACCACTTTACTTCTCTCCCCGTCAAAACCTCTGCGTCCAAGAACTGCCCTCGAGTCTCCTAAATTAGCTACATATAATTCACTTCCCGAAATAGCACCAAACAAACAACATGATCCAACTGAAGCAATCTTTGGCATTGAAGGCAATGATTGCTTCACCAATCGAATAAAATCCTCTTCTGTTGCATTAAATGCTCTCTTTATCACCTCTGATGATAAACACCCTTGCTCTTTCTGAAACTCTACACCAAATTGAAAGCAAATAAATTAGATAAACTGCAAAATAAGAACAATACTAATCTATCAACCACAGAGGTAGTGATCGAATAGTAACTGCGCATTTTAATAGACCACGCTACTAATGTTAACCTAAAACACCAATGTTTGAACTCTCCAACCAGAAAACAAAACCAAAAATACTAAAAAGTAAAACGGAGACAACTTTTAAAGACCTAAAAATAAACCCTAGATAAAAGAGGTACACAAAATTCAACATAAAATCAGGCAAATTCAAGTATCACCGCAACTGATCAACAAAACATTTCATAATTAAACTAACAAAAATCACAATTCTCTCTCCCTAACCTCTTTTAAACTAGATCGTACACATACAAAAACCTAATTAACAACAGATTATCGCAATAAGAAAGAGAAAGATACCGTACTGTTTAAATAAGGAAAGAGATGTCTATTAACAAAACGCGCAGCTTCAGGACCTCCATGACCATCATAAACACCAACATAGGTAGCAGAAGGAGAAGTAAGTACTTGACTTTGATCTTCAAGAGATGAATTAGCCTGAACAACAGCCATAGAAAAGTCACCAGATGCATGAGGCTTCAAATCCGTATGCCACAAAAGTCCATCACCACTCCGCCTTCCAAAACACCTTTCCAACGGCCGATAACACAATCTCATCATCTGTAATTATTCCGTTCAATTACAATCTGAATCCCAAACTTTTGTGTGTGTGTGTGTGTGAGAGAGAGAGAAGAAGAAGATAGGAGAAGGAAGAAAATAGGGGGAAAAAAAAGTGGAAGAAGAGAGGGATTTTAGTTAAAAGAGTTGGGAGAGAGTCAAGGGGGGAAAAGCGCGTATTGAAAAAGACAAACACGGAATAATCACAGCCTACCCTTTACGCGTCTATCTCTTACAAAACTAGTCGCGCAATATATACCAAAGCGAAATACTGCTTTATCCGTTTTGTGCGTTGTCAGCTCCTTCTAATTTTTGACTACCGTGTCCTCTTTCTTAGTTATCTATAATTTCATTTTTATTCCACGTGTTTAATCGAGTACAAAATTTTTAAATATTTTAAGATTATATTTAATTGTATCAAGAGAATACGATATACGCAAATCTTGCATCTACCTTGATAGGAGGTAGAGAAGTTGTTTCGATAAACCCTCAATTTAAAGGAAATTTTTTTCAAACAAGGATTGCAAGAAAGAAAATGACATTAAAAATAGCAAGATACAAAACAAATGAAGTAATATATACTAAAAAATGAAATTACGCCACTATTAAATAATATTACTAATAAGGAGATCGAGGAGAGGACAAGGCTAGATATCCCCTACCTTTCCTACATGATGTGCATTAGCACTTGGCTATTTGCTAACTTTTTATCCTAATCTTCAACCTCTCCAAACATTCATATCTAGGGGTCATGTTCTCGGTAAGTTGAAGTTGTGTTATGTATAGTCTAGTCGCTAATTGTCTGCCATAGAGGTCACTCTAATGTTGTCTCATATGACTTCATTCCTAATCATATCTTACCAAGCATAACCACACATCTATCTGAGCATCTCCATTCTGATACCTTCATCTTTTGAGCATGGACATTGGTGACTGAGTAGAACTATGCCTCATACAACAATGTTGTTAGTATAACCATCACTTTGTAACTATTTTTAAGCCTTAGCAACACATTTTTATCGCATATTACCCCAGAGATGCGCCTCCATTTTAACCACTTTGTTCCAATACGATGTGTGATATCATCATCAATCTCTCCATCTCTTTGAAGTATTGACCCAAAATACTTGAGATTTTCTCTTTTAGGTACGAATTGTGCATCAATCTTCACCTTCGGCTCATGTGATATGTTACTGAACATGCACTCTAGAGCTTGTATCCAAACTTTCAGCCTATTGTTGACTCCATCAGTGTCTCATCATTCAATGCTTTGCCACCTGAGAATAACATACATCGCAATACCTCCCCTTGAATATTTCGTGTTAATTTGTCCATTACTAAGATGAATAGAAACGAGTTAAGCATTGATTCCTCAAGCAATCCTATCATGATCGGGATCCTGAGTCACCTCTCACTATTTTAACCAAGTCTTGGATCCATCGTATGTAACCTTAATTGCTCCAATGTAGGCCACAAGTACACCTCTACACTCCAAATATATTCAAAGGACCTCTATCGGGGTTTTATCGTAAACCTTTCTAGGTCAATGAGCATCGTATGTAAATCTCTTTGTCCTTATATTGCTGTAGCAATATTGTTAGGATCAAGCGCTTACCATCATGCCAAAAGTTATAGCTTATAGCAAAGACGCAACTTTATTTCTTAACTAAGCCCACCAAGCAAGCGTCATGTCCAATCATTATTCCGATCTGGGACACCCAGCCCCTCATAGCCATAGGTGTTTTATTGGGTTTTAAAAGAATGCGATAATTTTAAAGAGTCGCCACTTAATTTTTAAGTAGAATTAAGAAAACTATTTATTTTCAAAAGATCAAAACAGAAATCAATTGAAAATATTTAATGGGTTCGAGGTTCATATTAGCATTTCGAGAAGGGTTTTAAAGCGCTTGAAATATCCGCTAACACGCGGTTATCCGATAATTAACTATTTGGCAAATTATTTTTTTTAAGATAATACGCCTACTTGAATAAGAGAAATTAAAAGAAGTTTATTTAATTTTAAATTTTTAATTCAAAATGGTTATCTTTTGGGGAGTTGAATTTTTGAAACCTTAAAATTAAGTGAGCACATAAAACGCATAATAACAAATAAATGAGATAGGGAGAGAAGATTTGGGCCCTTGGCCCATTTGAGTCACCTGCACATGTCCTAAACTAACATAAAAGGAATATTTTTTCTTTGGGCCTTAGGCCCAATTCTTTCACCTGTCCTAAGCTTCTAACAGAAATAATAATAAGTGAGTGGGCTTACGCCCAAAAGCAACAAAATACAATTTTGGAACTAAGAGTGGGCCTTTGGCCCAATCTTTTCAATTCTCCAATCTGCTTCATATTTTTTCAACACTGGGACCTGTTCGTCGATTTTTTACAGCTGGTTGGCTGACTCGATAAAGGAATTTGAGTCTTTACGACTCTCTCGAAAAGCGGAAAAGTAAAACGGAGTCTGTGAGGACTCGGGCAGATTTTACATGCAAACACAAAGTGAAAACTAGTAAGTAAGAATCATGACTAATATAAGGAAAAGACCCAAATAAAACAGAATTCATTCACTACCCTATTTCAATATAAGCACAGTGAAAGACAATGTATATCACCAAGGGCCTTAAGTCTATATTTTTATGACATTTAGTGACCTTAAACAACTAATACTATAGCCAGAATTGAGATTTCCAATTTAGGATAGTCAAGCTGTGATCAACTTGTGATCACGCGACTTTGAATAAACCAACACACCCAATAATGATTTAATAGCAAACACTTCAAGGAGCAGATACATACTAGTGATAGCAAGTCACAGAAAATAAAAGGGTCAAAGCATGCTTCTTTTGACTAAAATCCAAAATGAAACATGTGAAGTTAAGGGAACAATAAAACTCTAGAACAGCCCACAATAAACAAATACTTAGCTCATTATTACAGCATAAATGCACATAAACAATTTTTGTCATTCTTAGTAATCAGTGAACTCCTAATAATTTAATAAATATAAACACCTTATGCTCTCATAAGATTAAACAAAATGACAAACAACTCATATGATACTAAAAATTAAATTACAAGCTTCACATGCACCAAAGACAGTATTAATAAAGTAAGATAAGAACTCACAAACATGAACGGGAAATGAGCTTCAACATCTTTACAACTTCATTAAAACGGGGAAGAGAGGGGGAACACGTTTTAACATTCGTTTCAGATATCATTCCAGCAAACAAAACATAATACCATTGATAGAACAAGAACTATAGAAGAAGTAATTTATGGGCCTCATAACGAAATCATCTAAAATATAAAACGATCGTAAAAAGTGAAATAAATATACGCCTATTTACATCAGCATGAATTTCTAATCTATGCCTGAAAATACACAAAGGAGTAACATAATAGTTTCATCGACATTTTCAGCACATATAAACAAGACAAGAAAAATTATCCAAAATCGATGGAGACAAAACAAAGTCAGAGTGATAAACGAATAAATAGGTCGAGCTTAAAACGAGAACAACAATTAAGGATTTAAGCAAACTACAAACAGAGAAACGCATATTCAAGTAAGCACTAGATCACTTCAAAAATGACAAAAAGACATCTTAATGAAAATAGCTACTTGAGAGACCGAAGTAGATACACAAAGGTTGAGAAGAGAAAAAGCTACAAGTGAAATAAAGGCGAGATTCTCACCTTTTTCGGGGCAGCGAAACAGAGACCAAATAAGCGAAAAGACAACCTTCACCATGGAAACTCGAGCACGAACAGTAGCCGAGAAGTTTGGGCAAGATTATCAAACCCAAGCACAAAAAAAAAGGTATCTCCTCTATTTTTCCTTGAAGTATATTTAGTATGGTGTTTTAGCTATTTTCGTTGCCTAAGTTAAAAAAATTCCAACACTTACAATGAAGAAGAAGGAAGATATATAGGGGGCAGTCTAGGGTTTTCGATTTTGGGGGGAAAAGGCGAGAATAGGAATTCTGAAATTCCCATCTCCATTTGAATCTCTTTCCAAAGGATGGGGAAAAGCTGTTATTTGTACGAGAATCCCGATTTCCAGTGAAAAGGACGCGGACGATCTTGATCGGTTGGTCGTCCTTGACACTCGACGTGGCGTCCATCCACGCGAGTCAAGGACGAGACGTGGCTGGCAGGATTGAAAAGCATATCTGCTTCTGTTGTACGAGTTGAGGGAGACGCAGATAGAGCTGTACCATTGACGCCGTTTCGAGGCGTGAAAGCATCGTCTGCTACCGCTTGTATTTCGTGGCGTTTATATCCGTTCTTGTTGTCGCCTTGTGAGATGTTGTGTATTGTTATTGTTAACGTGAAAGAGGAGAAAAGAATTGATGGGTTTCTCTGCTGAAGAAATTGGGTCGGGTTATGAGTGAAAGAGTGGGATGGGTCGATTGAAAATTGGAGAAGAGGAATTGGTTAATTGGAATTAAAGTGGGACGGTCTGGATTTGGGTTGCTAGAAATGTCAAGCAAAGGGTCCCAAAACTTTGGCCTTAATATGGTTAAGGACAAAACTATGTTTTGGCCATATAAATTTAAATTGTAGCCAATTGGGAATTAGCGATGTAGTCAAAATCGGTCAAAAGGTAATCTCGACTAGTAATTAAGTAACACGGATTGATATAATTAATTTATGAGCTTCTTGATCTTACCGAAATAAAATAGTTAACTTAATTATAAAATAATTTATTCACGATTATAATCATACCTAAAATAAACTAACTTAACAAAATATTTAAGTAAAACAAACTCTTTTGAGACAATTCCTCGAATATACTTAGAATATGCTAATCATATACAAAAAGTATATAAAACACATTTATCATTTGAAAAATATAAAATTAATAAAATTACTTTAAAATAAACTTGAAAAATATTTGGATTTTGATAAAATTAGTTGTTCTAAATCATTTCAAAACTAAGAAGCTCAGAAATTAATTATTATCGGGGAGAGTCGAAATTGAGTGTCAACAACGTTCCCAAGCGGAGTCGCCATTCTGTTTTCACCCCTATTTTATTCAAATAAGGAGAAACACCGTGGTGTCTCAAAGAATAATCAATTAATTTGATTTTAAAAGAATTTTAAGGAAATAAGAGTTTTAAAGAAGTCGCCACCTAATTTTAGGAAAAAATAGGAAATCATTTAAGTGATCTACGCAACCAAGAGATTCTAGGTAAGGGGTTCAAGTTATTTTGAAGGGATTGTGTTAGGCATCCTTCGAAATACACAAATGTGAGTCCCGACTAAATTCATTTTTTTCAAATTGAGGAGGAAATAAAAACAATATAGAAGTAAAACAAATATACGATATACACAAGTAATAAAACAAAATAATAATATCAAAAATGTCCTAAGGTTTGACTAACATTGATAACATACACAATAGTAAATAAAAGATATAACTCGAACTCCATTCGAATAACTTCAATGGGAAACATTTCCGGGTACCTGTAAAGACACTTAGTAAAAGTATTAGCAATAAATAAATATGAATAAAATTAAATAAATCAAATAAAAACTTCAAAATAAAAATCAGTCTTATTAACATGGAGGCCTTGAAAATCGTCAATAATTTCTTCATCGGCCAATTTTAACAAATAATGGATATACACTTAAACTAAAATTTCTGTCTTTTAAAATGGGGAGGCCTCCAAAATCGACGGAGAGATTTTTTCACTGGCCAATTTTAATATAACAATAACAACAAATATTAAAAACAAAAATAACAACATAAGACCAACATTAATAATATTAACATGATCAGCAAGCAACAAACAAAAATTTATCAAAAGAGAAATGCAAAAATATTAACTAACGACATTTAAATCAATATACAAATTCATTAAAACTCATTTTGAACAATTATCAATAAAACTAAACAATATACAAAATTAACCAGAGTTTAAAACGATATATAAACATGATAACCAAAACATGCTACCCATTATCAAAATATTAAAGAATGCACAAAACCTATCCAAGAAAGAAATAAAATTAACTTAGTAACAGTAGAAAAACTAAGAAAAATAAACAATAAAATAAATATCTAAGCAAAATATGACAATACTATTGAAGTTCGGATCTCACCAAATCAACAAGCAATGGCAAATCGACCTTAAGAATGAAATAAACAGTGTAAAATAGCAGCAAAGATAGTCAAAGAAGATGAAGTTTTCCAAAAATCAAGTTAATCACCGTCAAAATGAAAATCTATCCAAATCTGTAGGCTCTTGGGTTTCACTTGCTCAAAGCTTCATAGTAATCGGAACTTTAAAGCTCACTGGTAGCGTGCTAGAGGTTGTTTGGTGGTCTTGTTCGCGACATGAGTGGCTCGCAAGAGTGTGAGGGCTCGCTATTTCGATATATCGAGCGTGAGTACCTAAAAACAAAACAAAATCGTAAAAAGGGAGGGGAGGGGACTGGTTCGCATCATCATTTTCTTCGGTGGTGGAGCTTCGTGTTGACGCTATAGGGTCTGGTGGTTTCGCTAAAGGAGAAACAAGGGGTCTGGTGGTTTTGGGTTCATTTCCGGTGATTATTTCACCGAAAAAGAGGTGAAGATAAAGAGGGCTTTGGTCTGGTTGTTGTTCGCTGCTGGAGTTAAAGTGGCGTTGAGGTGGTTTTCGACGGTAGGAGTTGTTGCAGCTGTTTGGGGTTGCCGGAGGTTTGGGGTTGCTTGTATTTTCATGGTTGTGGGTGGCTAGATAGTGGTGTCTTTCATTTTAGGCAATGACTGATTGGAGAAGAATGGAAAATGGGGGTTGGGTGGCGGCTGTCTTTGTGCCAAAAAATAGGAGGAGAAACTTGTAGGGTATTTTTCTATTTTGAAAAGTTTTCACCCCTTAGTCTAAAAATATTGTTCACTACCCCCTTTATTTTTTAATCTAATCAAAACTTATATAGGAAATAATTTTACAATGGACTCAAATTGTGGCTTGAGATTATGACCCAAAATTGTTGGTTAAATAAAATATTTGTGTATATAATTATTATCCTAATTTAATAGTTTTTCTAGACTGTGCTAAAAAAACCAAAATTGATATTAATAAAAGTAATGAATAAAATGAATATTAATAAATGTAATGAACGTAACTCATGATGTGTAAAACAATGCAATTTAACATAAATAATGATTTAATCAAAATGAACAAATCTTTGAACGTATTCAATCGGCTGTGACAAAAAGTAATGTAGTTAAAATAAACAGATAAAAAATCTAAAATTTTGATAAATAAGGATAAATATCGATAAATTTATTTAAAATTATAAAAAATATATTTTGAATTATTGAATAAATAAAACTTAGAAGTTAAGAATCTTGAAAATGTTATGTCAAAATTGGGTGTCAACAATTGGCAGGATATTGAAATTACTCAACAATCCCCCTCCCAACACTTGTCTCGTGCAAAATGTTGCTCTTGGGAATCAAATTCACGACCTTGGCTCTGATACCACTTATTAGGATCAAGCATTTATTATCATGCCAAAAGTTATAGTTTATAGCAAAGGCACAACATTATTTCTTAACTAAGTTCACCAAGCAAGCGTCGTGTTCAATCATGACTCTGACCTGGGCCACCTAACCCCTCGTGGGTCTTGCCATATGCAGTATGTTGACATTACTCAACAAATATTCTTATAAGATTAATAAATGACGAAATAAGGTGGCCAAAAGCGATGACTAATCACGATCGAAGCTTGGGCTTTATGCGATAGGCTAGCAGTAAGCTTGACTACAACAAAATGCTTATTAAGTGCGAAGGAAATGGACTTCGTCACTTAAGTCATAAGCGGGGGGAGCTTACACATGTTGTTTGGGAGGGGGGGAGCCAGTAAGAGCCATCACAATAACATATGTTTGAAGCTCAATATGAAATTCTATTTTCTTGCAAGATTTCGGATAATTTGTAGTTAATCACCCCAATATGAATTTTAATTAGTTCTCGTAGATAGACATAAACTATTGTAGTATGACTTAGTATCTTGATACCGCTATAGTTGTTGCAATTCTAAATATCACCCTTGTGTACCGCCCCGCAAAGAGCTACATTAAATTTCAGTAGTTCCAAGGGTGTGGCAGATTCGCGTTGCGCTTCAGCGGGTCTCAAACGGCGTGTCAATTATTTTCCAGCTTTCGGAGATGACTTGGAGATGATGAGCATGTAGTAGCCTTGACTTTCAGCCAAAATGGGCCCCAGCAGAGGGGACAAGGCTGACTTGTGATAAGGGACACTCCACAATATCCAACCTAATCTTTGACTTTGTAAAGACACCCTTGTAGTCCTTTCTTTTAGGAACTTGTCCCATAACGTTTTTAGCTTTGTTTTTACAGCTTTTAGACTATATTGGAAGACTTCACTTGTAAGAAGAACACTTGGAGAAAATACAAAGAAAATTGGCACTTGCCTTCCAAAACTTGCTTTCTTATTTTGCTTTCTTGTTGGCTGTTTGAGTGGACTGTTTGTAGATGATTTTGTTGTTGCACTATAGTACTTCTTTGTGTTAGGACTGAGCTTACGAGGATCTGTGCAAGCCCTCCTTCGCTGTCCCACGAGACCTTAGAAAATAGGCCCGTGACACTTGTCCTTATACAATAGAACCATTGTATTCCACCTCCATTCTTCTGGCATTTCAGTCGTCCTAAATATGATATTAAACAACTCAATCGACCCACTCAATATTTACTTCACCTATGCTCTTCAAAAAATCTACCTGAATCTTGTCTTGCTCGGTTGGTCTTTTCCTTTTCATCTTAGCTTAATTAGAGGGTTCAACAAAATTAAGAGCATACTTGAAGTATGAAAAAAAAAATGAAATTTTAAAATTTGAAATATTTTTCAAAAACAAACTGAAATTTTTAAAATTTGAAGTTTTTTCAAAAATAAATTTTAAATATTTTGGGTTGATGGGTGATGGGTGATGGGGTCTGGGGGCTAGTCTAGAAAATGTTTTCCTTACTTTTTTAAGGAACTCATTTTCCTTAAATTTAAGGAAAATAAGTTGATTTGGAAGAAAATGTTTTCCTTCAAACCAAACACACCCTTAGTAGTTAGTTACGGAAAAAGAAGATACCATATTTATTTTCTTTCCCATTTAAGAGTTGAAAATCTACTAATATTTCTCAAATTTCAAATTCAAATTTTCCATACCGGTGTTGTTAACTAAAACCCTCTAGAATTATTCCTTTTAAGTTTTAGGCTCGAAAACTACAATCATACAATCTATAGCCTGTTCATTTCTATTTTTAGTTTTCGGACTCGAAAAGTTGCAATCATGAATCATATAAGGTAAAGGGTGTATTTGATAGGAAGGAAAATGATTTCCACGACAAAAGTTTTCCTGGAAAATATTTTCTAACTTATTTTCTCATGTTTGATTGGTAGTACAAAATAATTTCCGAAAAAATATTTTCTAGTGTATGATTAGTGAATGAAAAATACTTTACA